CAGTTCCAACTCATGGCGACCCCAGTGTGCCAGGGGAGGGCTGCTCTGTAGGGTTTTTGTGGCTGTCCCCTTTGCAGAAGCAGGTGGCCAGGTCTTTCTTCCACAGGCCTCCTGAGTGGATTGAGATCAGTAACCTTCACGTTAGTACTTGAGGCAAACTGTCAGCCCCCTCCCCCCGACCATGACATGTGCTGAGCCAGGTGGAGAGAGGTTCACCTGGTGGGGCACCTGGAGGCTCAAAGCTTGCTGTCTTGGCCTCCTGGGGTTACCACAGCCCCTTGGGGCTACAAAGTGGGCAGCTTAAAGGAACAGAGGGTATGGTCTCAGTTCTGGAGGCTGCTAGTCCGAGTCAGGATGCTGCGGGACCATCTGTGTGAAGGCTCTAGGGTGACCCCAGCTTGTCTCTCCCAGTGCGTGTTTCCTGCTCGAGAACCTGTGTGTATCCGTTACGCAAGCTAAATGCAGATGCCACTGATCACCTGGCATTCCCCCAGTGAGCATGTACACCCCAGAGAGCCGTGGGCACGTACACAGCAGCCCTGTTCTTGGCAACTGCCAAGCCCAAGCCACCTGGCTCTCTCTGCAGAAGAGCGGGTGCAGTACATTTCCACAACAGATGACACATCGATGAGAGACCAGGAATTACAGGGACACATTGTCACTGCATGAGCGTGTCTGTGGGCAAGGGGGTCAGACACAAAGCCATGTGGGCCTGTGACTCTGTTTTCAGAAAGTCCCCAGATAAGCTCCAGGACAGAAGTCCAGTGGTGTTGCCTTTGGGTGGTGAGTGGGTGGAGGACTGAGCAGTGAGGGCATCTTGGGGGGCTGGCAGTGCCTCTCCGACTCGGGTGGCACTGACGTGGGTGCTGTGTGGCGGCTCGTGGAGGTGGACAGGAAGTCGTGCACTTTTCTGTGCGTGCTGTTGGGCACTGTCCAGTTGGTTCCACCTCACAAGACCCCATGACGCCTGCCCGGTCCTGCACCATCCACACGGTCCCTGCCCGCTGGAGCCCACTGTGGCAGCCACCGGGTCAATCCGTCCTGTGAGGGTCTTCCTCTTTCTTGCTGACTCTCTACCAAGCACGACGCCCTTCTCCAGGGACTGGCCCCTCCTGATCACATGTCCAATGTATGGGAGACAGTGTCACCATTCTCACTTCTAAGGGGCATACTAAGGAGCTGTACCTCCTTGAAGACAGGTTTGCTTGTTTTTCTGGCAGTCCATGGGGTATTCGATATTCTTCATCAACACCACGGTTCAGAAACATCAATTCTTCTTCAGTCTTCCTTATTCTTTGTCCAGTTTTCGAGTGCATACGAGGTGACTGAAAATACCGTGGCGTGGGTCAGGTGCACCTTGGTTTTCAAAGTGACATCTTTGACCCTTAACACTTTCAAGAGGTCTTTTGCAGCAGACTTGCCCAATGCAATACATCGTCTGGTTTCTCGACCGCTGCCTCCACGGGTGTTGATTGTGGATCCATGTGAGAAGAAATTCCTGACACATCAGGCTTTCCTCTATTCACCATGATGTCACGCTAGTCCAGTTGGGGATGTTTGTTTTCTTGGAGTTGAGGTACATCCGTATCTGTGTGAGTTACATTTCTATTAGAACAAGTTTGGGGGAGACAGGAACCCACGGACACGTCTTCAGGAAGCAGCCAGGGCAGTGAAGAAGCACCCCAGAAAGCAGCAAGAGGAGGTGGTGTGGTCTGGGCTGTGGGACCCAGTGGGTGGTGGCAGGGTGGGAGCTGCCGGGAGGCTGGCTGAGGGTGGTGGCAGTGTCCCTGGGTTTCAGAAGCAGCAGGGGACATGACCCACCTGGTGGTGCTTCCTGGGGGAGGTGGCAGGCTGGCAGGAAGACGCACATTGGAGGGGTTGTAGCAGGGAGTGGGGGACTTGGAAGCGGGGTCAGTCAGTGTAGACATGTTGTGCTGGCACTTTGCTTGCAAAGGGGAGGAGCACATGGTGATGGGCAGGTTACTCTGATGGGGGCCCTGCACCCCATTTTCTCTACCTCACAGACTCAGGAGACCTCACAAGTTACATGTTCATGGGTATTGTGTCTCCCACCCTTAGAAGGCCAGCCCACAAGAGCTGGGTGTCCATCAACCAAACCCTGATCTCCCCGAGAGACGGAGTCTGTACGCAGTCAGGGTGCTCCAACCGTTCTCATAGGTCAGTGAGTGGGGATCCTACAGACGGAGGGGCTGCCCTGAGGCCTTGTCCCCACTTCTGGGAGGGTGCAGACAGACAGGTGAGTGCCTGGGAGTGGGTGATGGCAGGACACCAGGGGCTGTGGGGAAGGCCTCTGACAGGCGCGGAGGCTGGGCTGAGGGGCTTTGGAAGACGGGAGCCTCTGAGGAATGGGTGCACAGGATGGTGGGCACTGTGAGCCCACTGAGGCGGGAGCATCCAACTCTGGGCCCGGCCCGACTCAGAAGTCTAGGACGCAGGGAACTGCCGGGTGGGGCTGGAGTGGGCATTTTGGTTCGGCTCTGGGGGCCCAGGAGGGTGAGGGTGATGCCAGTGTGGGGTGGGGATCTCAGCAGAACTGACAGACTAGGAGAGGAAGGGTGGGGGGCCCCAGGATGGGGGCCCAACACAGTGTGGTAAGGGCTGATAGCAGCCGTGGAGCCGGGCCCCTGCTCCGATCTTCCAGGTCAGGCTGTGCCCTGGCCAGGACACCGCCTCCAGGAAGTGAGCCCAGCCTACTTGTTGCTGGTCCTCAGAGCCGGGCAGAGCGCGTGGTACTGGGTTTTGCACTTCCGTGCAGGGCTTGTGAGGAAACCCTGTGATAGGGAGCGTTAACCGGCTTGTTCCCTCCGGTCCCAGCAGGACCCAGGTATCCGCCCCTTGAACCAACGGAGGGTGACTGAGAGCAGGTGCAAGCACAGAGCCGGGCATCCACCAGACCCTCGCAGTGAATCTGGGCCCTGAGCTAGGAGGCTCGTGAGGCTGGTGAGGTGGGGGCCTCAGCTCAGAGTCCCTGGGGGGCCATTCTGGGCCTTTCCTTGGAATGAAAGCCCAGCCCCAGACGAGACCACGCCCCCCCAGCAGGAACCCGGAGGCGCATCTCCTTCTGAGCCCTCCCCTCTGCATTCCAGTCCCGCTAGAACCCCCAGTAGCAGGTTTGGGGAGCTGGCTGGCGGTCCCTGAAAACCCAGCGGAGAGGAGCGCAGAGCTCTCAGATGGGGGGCGGGCCAAGCCTGCTCCACCTGCACCTGGAGTTCACATCAGCCAGGCCCCCCATTGTTCATGCCCCGGAGGGGGTCCCCACCGCCTTCCCTCCCTTTGCAAAGAGGCTTCCTGACCCCCAGGAAGGCCTGAGGACCCTGTTCCCCCACCTCCACCCCTTATTCCCGCCCCGCCCCCCTAAAGGCGTCTGCTTGGGAGGAAGGACAGATGTTGGGGGCCTGCCTGTGGCCGGCGCTGTGGCCCCCGCTGGAGGTTGCAGGGCCTTGATCGCACCAGAGTCGGGATGAGCAGTGCGGCGAGAGGGGAGGGCCCCGGCTTGGGGCTCAGCTGGGAACCCGAACCTCCCTGCCACGTCTTCTCAAGTTTTGTCGCGTGGGACTGCCCCCCCGCAGTTTCTTCAAACGGACCCCGCTTTGCGAGTCAGGCCCCAGAATTCGTGGGACCCACCGTCTTCTACCTGCCGGCCCACCGGACAACGAAGGGGCCTGAGCCCCCTGCTCGCCCTCGCTCCTCGCAGGGTCCCACTCTCGCGGGGGTGGGGCGCCTCGTTTGCTGTCCCCCACCCCCGCGCGTCCTTTCTGCTTTCTGCAGGCGCTCTTCCCGCTCCGCAGGCCGCCTCCTCCATCTCAGAGCACCTGGCACCCAAGGGGGCCCCGCGGACCAGCCCGGCCCCCGCGCGCCCAACACCCGGCGCGCCC